TCAGTCTTTTCAGAGTCAGAGGCAAGATTCCCTTTCAGCTTCCTGAATTTGACTCTAATTTGATGATATCTTTCCAGAATTTCATTTAGACTTTCAGCAAGTTCAGCCTTAGTAAAGTTTATTATAAAGTCAGGGAATACCTCTTCAGTGTCTGATTCCGAGTCTGAACCAGAAGCTTCACTGTCTTCTGATACGTTTGCCATGAGAGCTATGTTTGCTCTTTCCTCATCAGATTCTAAGTTAGCTTCAGACGTGTCAGAATCATCCCATATACCCATGAGGCTTTTCTTCTTTTCCTTGAGAAACTTCTTTTTGGGCTTTCCCTTTTGAAGCTTTGGGCAGTCACTTTTGTAGTGCCCTTGCTCGTTACACTCATAGCAGATGATGTCCTTGTTATTTGGCTTTCTGTATCCTGAAGAACCTTCATATATTTTGTCTCCAGAGGAGGACTCAGACTTTCTGTATCTGGAGGAGGATTCATTCTGATTCTCTAATCTTTTAGGATTTCTGAACTTCCTTTGTCTCTGCTTCCACGGTTGGTTCACCCTTCTGGAGAGGAGAGACAATTCATCTTCTTTTGATGAGGATCCATCAGAAGTTTCTTCCACAGCCTGCAAAATCTTAGAGTCATATTTTCTGTTAGATTTTAAAACTAATGGCTTACCTTGCTTTAGAGGCTCGTCTTCTTCTAGCTCTACCTCGTGACTTCTGAGGGAGCTAACAAGTTCGTCCAGAGAAATTTTGTTGAGATCTTTGGCTAGCTTAAGTGTTGTGACCATTGGCCTCCATTGTTTGGGCAAGCTTCTGATGATCTTCTTAACGTGATCAGCAGTGGAGTATCCTTTGTCAAGAACTTTTAGTCCAGCAACAAGAATTTGGAATCTTGAAAACATAGTTTCTATTGATTCACTATCTTCCATCTTGAATGCCTCATACTTCTGAATGAGCGCAAGGGCCTTGGTTTCTTTGACTTGAATGTTGCCTTCATGCGTCATTCTCATAGAGTCAAACATATTCTTGGCAGTTTCTCTATTTGATATTTTCTCATATTTTAAATATGAGATGGCACTGAGAAGTATTGTTCTGGCCTTGTGGTGGTTTATGAATTCACACTTTTGCTGATCAGACATCATTTTTCTGTCTATCTTCTGACTTTGTCCATCCACTGGGTGCGTGTATCCATCAGTCACCATGTCCCATAGATCAGCATCATGAGCTAGAAAGAAATTCTCAATTCTGTCTTTCCAGTAGTCAAAGTTTTCTCCATCAAAGATTGGAGGTTTTCCACTGAATCTGTCCTTGTCTTCATGGTTGTCATTGCTGATGATTTGGCTTGGTCCCACCATAGTGTTTTTCTGATGCTTGGATCTTGTACTGACACGGTTAAGTGTTTAAGCTCAGAACCAGGCGCTCTGATACCAATTGAAGATGTGAAAAACACAAGAGGGGGGGGGGTTGAATTGAAAACTTGAATCTAAAAGCTTAATGACACAATATTTTTATCCTGGTTCGTTTGATCTCAAACTACTCCAGTCCACCCGTCAAGGTGATTTCGCCTGTCTCAAACGAGGTCTTAATCCACTAATCTCAACAAGATTACAAAAGCTACTTTAACAACTGTTAAAGTCTTTGTTGAGTACAACCACAATCCGATTAATCTCAAGGAACTCTTTTTCAATATTCTTAAACAATATGTGTTGTTGTTTTTCTAACAAAAATGGTTTATCAAAACTGTGATAAATTACACAGATTTATAGCTTAGAAAAGTAAAAAGAAATTGCTTGCAGCTGAATATGCGTGAGTGGTTATCTTAGAAAAATAGTTATTCATGCATTTCTTTTCTTTCATTTTTGAAAGCTGACTTGTTTATATAGGAAGTGGAATGACGTTGTTCATAAAGCATGTTTAATGTCATTAACACACTTTCCTTTTGGAGAAGATCCTGTCTGAAGGAAGCCGTTGGAATTGATGTTGTCTTGAATGATCAGTAACACTTCAAAATCATATCTCCTAACTGCTGAAGACGCTTCAGAATATTGATGACTTGGTTTGATATGTTCTTGTTCAGAGTCAGAGTTTATTTTGATTAAGCGCAGGTTCTGGTCATCAATCTTCAGCGTATGTTCTGATTGCTTCAGCGTGTAATACTTATGGCTTATCTTCTGATGCTGATATGATCAGAACTTCTGCATACATAGAACATGATTTTTAAGGTGCATATTTGTTCTTTGTATTATATAATTTATTCTTTGTATTTGTTATCATCAAAACTCTAACCAAGGGTTGTAGAATCAAACTATGTTCTAACAATAGTCACCCTCTGTACCTGTAAAGAATATTCCCTCCCTACTCACGGGTAAAGACTAGGTCAGGGTAAGCCAATGGTAACTCAAAATCACAATTTCGCTTGAGATTACTATCATCATACACCTACGTGATAATGATAACACCTCATTAAAACCTCATCTGAGTGTTGATGACACAACCGTCTAGGCTAATCTACATCCTCTCTCTGTCGTGTTCCACTCTATTCCTAGTGTTCCTATTGTTTGTCACTTGGCCTGGGTATTGGGCCTTTTACCTCGTAGTAACACCCAACCCAATCAAGAAGCAGATCCAGAACATCAGTAGTATATGGAAAACAGTAAAATGCAATGCATACATATGCTCATGTAATGAATAAAGAGAAAGCATACAAATGAACACCCAAAGAAAAGAAAATAAGAGTTAGGAGCGACTCTGGGATGGACCAGCATTTGGTCGACCTATCCCCAGTGGAGTCGCGAACTGAAATAATCGGCTGAAAATCATCAGACAATGAAGTCGCCATTGAACGTCTTTTATCCCACATGAAGGGAAAGGTAAACATCGAGAAAACCTGAGAAGGGAGAAGTCACGGTCTTACGACCGAGAGATCGGGTAAGGGAGTCCGTTAAGCGGGGGGAAGGTATTAGCACCCCACGCGCTCGTAATACTCTACGGTATCCACTCTTGTTATCTATCTTATGGGTGTATTTAATCTATGCTTACTGTACTATTGAGGAAGAATGAAAAATAAAGAAAGGAGAAAATAATGTAGGGAAAATAAAGTTGTGCTCAGTTGGACCTACCCCAATACCTACATATCCTTTTTGAGGAATCAGAGTTACCGTAGTTCAGCTCACATGTTTTTCTTTGTTGTGTTTTTTATGAACATTGTTAATTCCACCTTTTATCGCAGCTCGACCTTTGGAGACTCAAACATTGCCAAAGAAGTAAATTAACATGTCCTTACCTGAAAATGGTCTCAAGTTACACCCTCAAGGAAAGATTTCACATTTTATTGGTTTGTGTTTTGTTACCTTGAAAAAGGGTTTTTATTGTTAAGATGTTTTATAATTCGCTAAAAAAGAAAGTTTTAGTTTTAAATGCATATGCAAAAGGGGAAGAAAAGAGTCTAAGGGAGACTAGCCTATTTATAAACTTAATGTTATCATGAAATGGTGGCTCTACGTCAAGGATGAAAGGGAAATCTCTACATAATGTTAGCATGCATGACTTTCCACCTAAGGTCGAACTTGCATCTGAAAGGAGCAAGCACATCCTAAGGGAACATGGTATGTACAAGGATAAAACAAGCAAGCTCGAAGGAGCACACACATAAAATAGTTAGGAAAAGAAGCGAAATACTTTAGCCAAGGGGAGCATATCACCTGAGACAAACAAGCGGGAATAGGATGTAAAACAAAAATGTGATGTCCAAAGCGACTGAACACCTAACCAAGATATAGGAGATCGAGGTAGGCGGCAGAAGGAAATATAACCAATCACATAGTGTCAATATCGGCCAATAAGAACTCCTGACAAAGTGTGGGGTTTTGATTTCAAAACCCTTCCCCACTTAATGATTCGATAGCAAGAGCAGGCACAACTCTGAAGCATCATGGTGTGTCACGAGCTAAGGATGACACAGACGAAATGGAGAGGGTTGATTGTGAATCCTCCTCGCTCGCATCTTTTTTAGAACTTCAATAAGGGATGGGGGAATAGATGTGAGCACAAATATAAACACACATGTGGAATACCTACTTCAAAGGTAGGGTTTTAAACAACCACAAATAGCACACAGAAAACACACAATGCGGAATTGCCCTAAATGGTCTTTAAATAAACCAGAGGGACTCCTGACATGATCAACAACGGAGATCCCCTTCATACATCTCTACCCTACTTCTCATGGCATCAGAAATCAGTAAAGTCCTACTTCTCATGATCTCTAGAAAAGCAGTAAAGAAGTACGATAAAGTGCCTAAATAAGGAATAAAATGATGTTGCGATGATACCTAATGGAGAAGGTTTTTTGCCTCTTCAAAACCATACAAGCCAAGAGAAAACTCTACAAAAGCTGCTTCACACAAGTGATCAAATGAATTAATCCTCAAGCATTCCACATTGCAAAAATTACATCAACATTCTATCACAAAATCTTTGCTAAAAAATGACAACAAAAATGATTATCGAACATGAAAATAATAGAAAACTCTAATGAAAATTCTAAAGAGAGGTCCTAAAGAATTCTAAAATGTTCTAATATTTTCTTATAATTTTTTATCATTTTTTCATGCAATAAAAATTAACGAAATAAAATAAAAGAAATTGATAAATAAAAATAAAATAAAAATGTAAAGAGTTCAGGGGTGCATAGTTACATCCAGGGGTAATATTACAAGCAAGCTAAATTGATGCTAAGCCCAATCTGAATGAGTCCATTAGCCATTTTTGTTCAATTGCAATTCAAGCTTCCAAAAATCTTATTGTATGGGCTTGAGAAGGATGAATTATGGTCTAGCGTCAACTACATCAACAAGCCAATCACAATTTTTATTATTGAATAAATTGGCACATTGTTTACAAGAGAGTTAGGGTCTGGAATGGGTGATGTTCCTAATCCCACAATTAAAACCCCTCATCTCTTTTTTTAATGGTGATCTTCGTCTTACTCTCTTGAACGACGGTGAATCATGTTATTCCTCTCCGATCAAGATGGCACCGCGAGCCAACTCTCCATCTCCGATGATCTCCTTCCATTCCGAATCTTTCTTCTACTCAAACTCTCACTCCCAAGCTCAAGCTTCGCCATCGTCTTCGAAGCTCTGTCCAAACGATTCCTCAGCGCCGTGAGTATGAGGCACAAATCTCTTCTATCTCAATCGTCGATGTCATCTCTCATGCCACAACGTCGATGTCGCCGCTCAACTTCTCCCCGTACTCAACATAAGCTCACCATTCAACCTCCTCCTTCGTTCAAATTCGCGTTTTTATGAAGGAATTATGGTCATGTCCCTTTTTCGATTCCATATTTGGTCCTATCTTCGCTAATTCTTATTCAGCTTTCTCGAAACAAAAATGAACGGATGTATACGAATCATATAGCTTCCTCCTTTTCTCCTTCTTTAAGTTTTTGATTTTCTTGAGTACGTAGTGATGTTGATCTTGTGCTGTTGGACAGTGTTGATGCAGTTGCGCTTCTGCAGAAAATGATGTTGATATCGAATCTTGTTGCCTAATGAGTATGAAGATGCAGGTTGTTGATGGCGATTGAAGTAATCTTTTAAGAATTACTAATGAGAAAGGTAGATTTCTTGAAGATTCGAGGCAGCAAGATGATGATTGCAAATTCAAGAGAAGATTGAAGACTGTTGACAGTGATGGAGCAGAACAATGTTGATGATGACTGCTACAAATTGTGGAAGGCTATTAAAGATGGAAGATGAAAATGAGAATTTATGGTATAGGTTGCAGAGAATTTGAGGGAGAGATTGGAGGATGAAGAAAGGTTGTTGGTGGATGAAGGTAGTTATGGAGGGAATGAAAAGTTATGTGTCTTGGTATGATTCTTCAGAGAGTGAAGAATGAAATTTTTAAGGTGATTTTTTATTTTCCTCTTTTTTTCTGTATAAACTCTTTTTTGGTGCGAATGAATCCCCAACTCTTTTCTGTTATCTCCTAGTTGGTTAGGAGTTAGTTATCATGTTAAACATGGTTTGTTAACTATTAGGAGTTAGTTATAGGTTAGTTGGATTGTTAGTTATAGACTGTTTGAAGGTTGGTTTAATTCTGTTAGATGTTCAGTTTGGATCTGTTATTTATTGCTAAGCTAGAAAATTCTGTTAATTTTTCTGTTAAAGGCATCTATAGAAGTCTGTCATGAAAATCTGTTAGAAGTTTAGTTAGGAGATTTAAAAAACAGTTAGTTAGTTGTTAGTCTCGGTCAGGGTTCTGATTTGACAGTTGGTGACTCAGTCCTAACTTATTAGAAATTCTGTTATGGTTGGTTATTGGCATCTTTAAGGGTGAGGATTTATCAGTCATGGAACTTGAGATTTAGGAATTTAAAGTTGGTTATATACTCTGAAGCTTAACCCAAGGCATTTATTTAGTCTGAGTTCACTACCATTCTGACGTGTTTGAAATAGTTTGGATTATTTTCATGAACAATGAACTACTACTACTTTAATGGAAAACTTATTTTGGAATTATCTGATTTAATTGTAGAGTTTATTATTGGTCATTGCTAACTCAAGGTTACTTAGTGATTTTCGTGATGTTATTGATTGGTGAAGGACTTTGGCATGAAGGCAGGACTTTGGCATGAAGGCACATGGAATTTGGCACGGAGGAAACTTGGAATCAAGTACAATGTGAAGCTGAAAGAAGAGATCCCTGAAGTAATTTGAAAGGGCTTAGAGAAATAGGGATCTTGGTCACAATTAGCTTCTTGGTCAACCTATGCAAGCTATTATTTTTGTAATCTCTTCGTAGCACACTCTTAAACCTTGTAATGAATCTAACTTTGTAGTCTCTTTATAATTTTCTATTGGAGCTTATTTTGTAAAAGTATGAACATGTAGTTAGTTACCTTGGTTATATTTGACTTGGTCCATAATAGTTATCCTTCAAGAGTTAATTTTCTAACCAAATGAGAACATCTTCATTTTTACACCTTTGGAACAAATCAACATATAAAAAGCCTAAGAGCTTAAAATTGACTTTGGAATGATCCAATGCCTTCAAACTTGGAATAATTAACCAGATAGAAATTGAATTCCATACCCTACATCAAATTCAAAATATTGTCTTGCTTTTGAAGGAACCTTTGGACATGTGAGACAAGGTTGAACGATGATGAATGGCACTTGAATGTCTCTTAAGAAAACCTTATGCACAAACCCTTCAATTTTGCAAGCACAATTTGATCTACTTAAACACATTAGAAAACTTGAATGAATACTAACCAATCAATAAATCTAGATCAGTTATTCCAATTAAATCTCAATCCCAAACCTACTTGTATTACAAACGACATGTAATGATGATGAGAACCAAAATCGCCTTAATCTGAATGAGTCCACAAGTTCATCTCCCATGCCATTACTTGAACTTGTATTTCACTCCATCACAACAAAAATGCGTTAAAGAGTTTTTGAAACTAAAAATGATACTTGGAGCAGAGGAGAACACCTTTAATGAACCTCAGTTGAATTAACAAGCGCAGGCACCAGGGATAAGAACCCAAATCTTCTTGAGATGCATTTGAGATGATGAGAAGGCCTCAACCCTATTACAAGGTTTTTATTTGAGGTATTGATGAAAAGCCTTGCATTAACAAGTCACAACCCTTTGATGGAGAACTTGATGATCTTTGTAGCTTGATGAGAATAAAATTCTCAGTGATCATGAACACAAGAAACCTTAACTCCATAAGCCATAATTGACGATGGAACCAATTGATTTCTTGAGTGAAGATGAGAGCCTAAAAGCACAGAGAAACAATAATTCCTAAATATCATTGGTCATATGCTAAATTTATTGGTTAGTGATGCATGGGGTGTTATTTTACCTAATGAAGGATATGCATATGAAATGAGAACGGAATGCATAAGTCAAATGATTTGATGAAGTGGTAGGACAAATTTACAACTGGGACCACATTTTCAACCCCCTGAGGATATGATGTAACTAATAAGAAACTTACGTTGAATTTCTTCATAACCTCGACTTTAATCTTCTCCGACATCTTAGGACGCATGCGACGAAATTTTTTGTTTTATTGGAGAACAACCCTCCTTCATCGATAAACAGTAAACTACAATATCAGTATTGAGTCGGGTAATGTCTTTGTACGAGCAAGCAAAGATCTTAACATAGTCATGCAACATCTGAATAAATTTTTTCTTGACACTGTCCTCTAGATTGGCACCTATCTTAACTTCTTTCCTATCTGCTTCAGTACCCAAGTTTACAACCTCGACCGACTCTTCATGCAGTTGTATAGCCTTTTCCTCTTGCACTAACAGTATAGAAACATCTCCAGGTATTTCACAATCTTCCTCATCTTCTTCCTCGGCTTGGTAGATCAGATTTTCGAAGTCATAATTTGCAATAGCATAATTTTTATCAACGGGATCCAAAGTGGATGTGGATCTGTAATTTATTGTGTGTGTATGTGTAAGAACACATAGCTATTTTGAAAGTAATAAAAATAAAAGAAAGACAAAGAGCACAAAATTTAAATGCAAAACGTCCAGTGTTTTATTAAATGAAGACATGCTTATGAAATGACAACCCTAACAAATGGAACATTATGCCCCGGGTAAGGCATAAGGCTTAAAGTCATTGTTTAAAGTTTACATAACCAAAACTTTGAAAGAAATAAAACATAATGTAGAAATTACTTTTGACTAAAGGAGATTGAAATACGGTCTACAGTCTTCCATTTGTTGATCTCATTGTCGATAGTGGGAAAAATCCAGTTGTCTAGGTCATAGTCATTGTCAGCATCTTCTATCGTGTTGACTCCATCAATAGCATTAACGCCCTTGATGTGCTTTGGCATAGGTGTAGTGATCACATTGAGAGTCTCGGGAGGATCAAACTCAATCTCTTTATTGTCAATCATGTCTTGAGTTTTGTTCTTTAAAGCCCAACAACTATTAGTGTCGTTCTCGGGACTATTAGAGTGGTAAGCATTTCACATTAGGATTATAATAAGGAGAGAAGGTGTTGGGATTCTGAGGAGGATACCTTAACATTATCAGCTCTACTTTCAAGAGTTGTTGCAATTCCTGAGACAGTGACATGATTATCTTGGTAAATTGTCTTCTTCGTGTGTCTGATCTACGTTGACTGTTTTGATGTGGTTGTTGTACAGACACAGGATTAGAAATTAGCACTGCCCCACAGATTGGTTGTGATCATTTCTAACACGACCCTTATGGCCATAAACAAAATTTATCTCCTTCTTCCCGTTGAATGTCTTCTTTACAGTACTTAGAGATGCGGCCACTTGAATCTTTCCACTTCTGATACCCCCTTCGACATGTTCACATGTTAATATTAATTCGGTAAAACCAGTAGAAGAAATTTCGATCAAATGACTAAAGAAAGGCCCTATCAAAGTTCCCATGAACATATCAACCATCTCCCTATCAGATAAAGGAGGTTGCACTCTTCCTGCCAGATCTCTCCATTTCTGGGCATATTCTTTAAACCCTTCATTCGAGCCCATAGTCATACTTTGTAATTGCACACAAGTTGGTGCAAGGTCAGCATTATATTGATACTGCTTGTAAAAATCACCAGCCAAGTATTCCCAAGTAGGTATGTTGGTTCCTTCCATCTGATAGAACCACTCTAGTTGTGTCCTTGATAAGCTCTCTTGATAGAAGTGAACCCATAACTTTCTATCAGTAGTATGGAGTTGGATCTTCCGGACATAAGACCTCATATGCAGCTTAGGACAAGAAACACTGTCATATCTTGCAAAGATAGGGACCTTGAATTTGTGGGGGATAACAAACCTCGAGATAAGACCCAGTTCCTTAAAATCCAGCCCAGGCACTTTCTGGATTTCCGTGGCATTCAGACGATACTCCAATTGTTTGTATCTGTCATTAGAGGGAGGATACTGCTCATCAGAATAGTCTTTTTCATCAGGAATTTTACAAGAACCAAAGTTACTTCCCCCCCTCAGTTTTGATACTTCTACCATCTTCCTCTTGATTGTCATCTTCATTTGATGGAATATCAGCAGCTTAAACCTATTTGGCGGGACCTTTGAATCTTCTTCCCTTGTTGAAGATACCAATTGGTTTCCTAGTATTTTTCTTCTTGGAGATGAGCGCCATCAATTCTTGCTTCCCCTTGGCTAAGTTCAGGAGCGTATCTTGGAATTGGGCATTTTGAGCTTGAAGTTCTTTCACAGTTTGTTCAAGGGACATCTTTTACTGAAATAAACATTAAGAAGATGAGAAAATATGTACTG